AAAAAAAAAAAAGCTTCCTCGTTCCTTCACGTTAAGGAGCGTCGGTGGAAAGAAAACATACTTTGGGGCATTTCAGGGGGGCGCAGTGTGAAGGTGTCTTTGGCGAAGGGCAGGTGGGGAACTAGGGTAAAGGTGAGAAGTAAGCAGATAAACTACGAGAGGAGCAGGGCTGCCGGGGTAGGAAGAAGGCGAGCGATCGGAGCTCACGCCAGGCCGCGGGGTGCACGGGGCGGCGGGGAGCCGGGGCAGAGAGGGCTCCACACGGAGCCCGTCCCCCGCCCCGGCCGGTGAGCGTCCCCTGCGGGCCTCGGAGGCCACACCCAGGACCTTCCCGCCGCGCGCTTCCCAGCTCAGCAGCAACTTGCTGCTTGAACCCGTCCAAGAGCCAACGAATGAATGACCCTTTGGCCGGGATGGGGGCTCCCGGGCCCCGGGGAGCTGCGAATCCCACCGACTCCTCCTACAGTCTGGGGCGCAGCGGGCCCTTTCCGCGCGACGTGGGGCGCGGGGCTCCCCAGGCTCCATGCGGCCTGAGCGCGGCTCGGGCGGGGGCCAGCGGAAGCCGGGGCGGGGGCTGCCAGGGCCGGGCGGCGGGTCCGGCTCTCGGAGTGCGCGACGGGGACAATCCGGACTGTGACTCCTGGGTCAAGGAGAAAGTGCTCTTTCTCCTGCACCCAGAGAGGTGGTTAGGGAATCAAGGGGACCCCGCACGGGGAGAGGTGGCCGGTGTGGCGGACTTTCCTTGGGAGGACGGCGACCATCGTGACCGAGAACTCAACTGCCCTTCTGTTTTTCAACGAGAAAAGCGAATTTCTGGCAGGCGAATAGCCGCCCCCTCCCAAGCCCCGCCGCGGGACCCCGCAGCCCCCGCCAGATCCGTGCTCGTGCGGGTGGTGGATTATCAGATGACCCAAGAAGTGCTGCAGACCGCGTGGACGAAGGGTCGCATGACCACGAAGACCGAGGAACGCTCCATGACCGCGGTCACTTTTCGGACCACTAGAGACTGAGGCTATCTACGGGGCGCCGGGACCCCTGCCGAGCCCCGGGATCCCCTCGCACCGAGAGACTCGCGCCGCGAGAGGAACTGTGCGTCCAGTGAGCTGATGCCCAGAGGAGCTTAAACACCAAAGAGGGGCCGGGAGAATGTTCCGGTCCGGTGCACGAGAGAGAATCCTCAAAAGAAAATGCTGTTTCGGGAACCCCAACCTGCAATTAACCGACAGAAATAACCTTTTAAGAGGCTGGCGCAGCGCTTCTGGGAGGCAGATGACACCGAGGACAGCTTGAAGAACTGTAAGCAGCACACCTCCTTTATGGCTTAACTGTGATGGTCCGGGGATCTAAGTCCTTTAGAAGAGGGGGAGAAGGCATTTTCCAATAGGCAGAAGGTGGGAGTTTTGAAGTGAGACAACGTGACGTTAACTGGCGCTTTACAATAACTCTCAATTGATCTGTCTTTAGGACTTAAGAGCAGAAGTGAAGTTTGAGGTCCGCACTCAGCAAAAAGGGTGAAAGTGGGTGGAGAGAGGGGATTGTTTTAAAAGTCAAAAGAAAAAATAAAAAGAAATGGGAAACTGAAACCAAGCCAGCAAGTAAACAGTATTTTTCTTGTCACTGTCCACTAATGGGCACAGTTTTCAATTTTCTCTCCACAATTCAGGGTTAAGAAGAAAAAGGGAGGAGCTAGGGAAAAGGAATTGCGGACAAAAGACACAGAGTATTTGATTTAGTCCAGGAAGAATGCCTTTAACTTGGAATTTTAAATTTTAATGTTAAAAATACTGCCTCTCATACATCTTCTAATCTAAAAGTAGATAGAAATATATAACTTGCCATTAAACGATTGCATGTCTTATTTTTGTCCATAGATCTTTATTAATGAGATTTGCAGTCCCTCTCTCCTGGTGTTAAAAACACATCTCTCCTGGTGCTGTTGAAACGACTTATTTTTCTTACTTTATTCGTTTTTTACTATTAAACACTATCTGTATGAAGTCTTTGGAAGTGGCCTACTTGGAACTCTGAGAAGCAATACAGCCCTCCAGAGGTCAGCTGCTTGACCTTAACACTAGTGAAGGAATATTTGGGTCCTGAAAGAATCAACCAAACAAGAGAGACTCCGGCTTTTGATGACTAAAGAGTAGAAGAGTGCCTCCTACCCTAGTCCTTCCCCTTTGCCTTTATTTTTATTTCAGAGTTGGAACTGTCCTCAACAGGTCATCTGATCTGCCTCCTTGTCCTTGTTTTACAGGTGGGCCAACAAAGGCCTGGAGGTCACACAGCTGGTTCTTGCATGCACTTGTTTGCTAAGTGAACAAAGAATGTGATTATCTGCCTCCTCGGAGGCTGGTGATGGCCTTCCCAGGAATTTATTTCTATGGGTCTCGAGATGACTGACTAGGTTTTCTAACTTGCGAACTAACCCATGTTGATGTCCCCGAATCCTGTAAGTCCTGTTGGCTGGAGAATGACCATCACTAGTTCTTGGGCTGTGAGACTCGCTTAAAAGAGGAATTCAGCACCTGTGCTCAATCTGTGTTCAAAACTGCTTGACAGAGGAAAAAAAGTTGTATATGAGCCCTAAGAATAAATTATCTTTTTCACTGACAACCCTGCCTGGTTCCAATGTGAATTAATCTTCTTGGCTGATGAATTTCAGACCCGAGCTTATTAATTTGGTTGAGTCATCAGATGTCTTGGTGATTGGTCATTGTCTGTTGACAAACAAAAAAGCCTCTTTTACAGTGACCAGAAATGATAGTATCAGTCAGTGCCTTCTCTCTGTAGACCAGGTCAAGGTTCAGCTGCTTGGGTTCACAACAGGCACTGTCTCTTACTAACTGCGTGGCCAGGGTAAGATACTTTATCTCTGCTTGCCTCTGTGTTTTGATTTGTTAAGTGGAGAGAATAAATAGTATCGACCTCATATAGTTATTTTTTTAGAATTAAGTGAAATGAAAATACTTAAAACACTGCCTGACATAAAAGTCAGGTAGCTATCATTAGCTCAAAGTTAGCTCTCATTATCATCAGTGTGGTGGTGGTGGTTCAGTTCACTCTTCATCTTTACCAGGCTTTTTAGTCTTTTATTTAGTAACAGCAGAAAATATAGAACACAAGAAATCTAGTGAAAGCCAAATCAGTGGTTTTTACCAGGACTCTTCTGTATGCCTAAAAGAAAGGACTTCTAGCTTTTCCCACTGTTTGATAGATCAAAAAGTACATTCTTAAATTCCTTAGAAATGACTTGCACATCTTGTGCAAACCATTCATAGTAGGCTGAAGGGACTGAGGTGTGCTATGCTTGATACAGTCTTTTAAATAGGATTTTACAGACTGCCCGGTTCTTGGCAGATAGGAGCTCTGAATTCTTTCTTTAGGCCCGTCTGATTAGTTTGTTTTCTCTCTCAAATTTTAAATCTGTTGGCCTATCCTCTAGAAAAGCTAAACAGGCCCAATTGGTTTTCATTTTATCCCTTTCTGCCAAAAACATATTTATTCAAGTTAGCTTAACTTCTTTCCTCCAAATATGTTTAATTTATTCCCACTAAGTGAAAAAAAAAATTTATTCTTTTTTAAAAATATTTGTGTCAGGGCAGAAAGTTTATTTTTAAAGTGGTTTATTTCTAGCTCTATGTTAATTGCCTACAATGTGTTTATAGATTTCCTTCTCACTGGAAACAAAAAATATTATGTTGATGTATTGTTAAATTTGCTTCACAGGTTTACCTGAACTAGGAGAATGAGGAGCCTGAGGAATCTTTTCTCATTCACAGGTGTCCTGGGAATGTGTCCAAAGGGAAACAGGTGTCCTCAGTACTAAGAACTCTCAGAGAATGGCTGGGTCTTAGGTCTTTGATCTTACCTTCACCTCACTGAAAAAATAGGATTATTTACAATTGTGGTAGATGAATGAACCGCATCAAAGACTTCCAGGAGCCACCTGGCCACTCAAGTGACCAAGTGACCATAAGACCAATGTCTGAGTCACATGATCACCATGGATCAGGCAAGTGGAGTGTCCTCCTCTCTTAAAACCCTTTGTCCACAGCCATAATTACTGTGAATCCATTACATTTGACTTGCCATTCTTACTGGTTTTTTTCTTAAGCTTTATACTTTTATATCCTAAGCTGCTCTCATTCTTGTTCAACATTACCAGCACTTGGTGATAAAACTTGATGTAGCTCTTTGCTTTAAAAAAAAAGAAAAAGAAGAAGACGAAAGAAAGGAAGAGTGTTTTGCTTGAAGAATAAGTTATACTCACTGCAGAAAAATTGGGGGAAATATTATTTTGTGAGAAAAGAGAAAAATAGAATAAAAAGAAACTAACCCAAACCTCTCTTAATGTTAGTATTTGGTATATTTCAAATATGGCTTTATTTTATTCTATTTTTATGTCTCTCTGTATTATCTATATGTATACTTTTCATATACATATACTTTTATTCTATTTTTATGTCTCTCTGTATTATCTCTACATATACATATACTTTGTGTATAAGCAAAATAGCTTTAGTGTCACCTCTGTATATTTTCTTAGTTTTGTCTTTATACTAACTAATCTATACTGATGCTATTTGGCGTGCTGTTTATGAATCAGCAGCATGTGCTGGCGGTTTTCAGAAATGAGGAATCCCAGGCCCTACCTCAGATCTACTGAATCAGAATTTACACTTAGACAAGACCCCTGGGGGATTCGAATTAAAGTATGAGAAACGGTGACACATACCCTATTTTATTTTTGAATTTTACTTTATCATTTGCTAAACTTAAAAAGCTTTTATTTTTCATATATTCCCTGTTAATTGTCAACTATGCTATATGTTAATTTATAGAATTATGAAAACATTTAGAGATTTCAGAGAGGGAGATATAATATGTCTGGTTTTGTAAACTGGCAAAGACATCTGTAAGAAGTTTTGTAAGGTCTTTTTTTAAAGACTTATTATTTTAAATTATTTTTCTAGTAAAGCATTGATTTGTTATTGGATTTCAAACTATTTTAGAAATAAGGTTCTTTCATTATCTAAGAATATAAAATAATACGTTCTCAGAAAACTCCCATGGGAGAAAAGAAAGGAAGTCATTAATGCATTGCAGAAGGTCGGCACCTGGCAGGCTTAGTAAAGACTTGTCAGGCGCTGGTGATGAATTGTGAGGGGGCGGGGAAGAAAGGTGAGAGCTGAATTCAAATCAACTGATTCAGATAAGGAAACAAAAGGCTGTGACTCTTGAACACCCTGACATCTCTGTAGCTGCAATCAGTACTTTGCTCTTTAATTAGGGAGAGCAAATATTTGTGAATTCACTTCTCTAGGTAAGAAAGTCCAGAGTACTTTGGAGAAAGTAAAGTGTTACAATCAGTACTTAAGGCACTGTGGAGCCAAGTAGTCACCAACCAAAGAAAAGGTTAAGACAAAGTGAGGAGTTAACTGAAGTCAAACTCAGATTTTTAAGCTTAAAACAGAGTAAGAATACACTGAAGAGACTGCAGTCTTCATAAAAATAGAACAGAGGTGGCTCGAGACCCTTGCT